TTTAAATACCGCCTTCATTGAAGAACATGGATGCCGCCCACGGCAGCCACTCACATGGTAGCCTCTGGAACCAAGGAATTTATTCCGGAACAATAATCTTGTGGACATGAACCAAGAAACTCATTCCGAAACAATCATCCCGCGGACAGGCACCAAGGAACTTTATTCAGGAACAGCCATCCCGCAAACAGGAACCAAGGAACTTTAATCACCGGACTGCATGCATCCTTCTGAAGGGGCTGGAAACCGCTCACTCAAGTGCCAGGAAAGCAGGAACTAGAAGAAGGAGAACTGGCACAAGTTTCTCTATGTTTTAAGTATGATGCATTATCATGTTGCATTTCCTCATCAGGATCTTTATTATTTTTTCTGCGACACCAAAATCGTCACTTAAATGTTCACAACGTTTCTTCCAGGGTAGGCTAACAACATAATGTCTACCTTTGAAACCAACAATTTTATTGAATATCTCTAATGCTTTATCTTCATCGTAAGAATTAGGATCATCTCTAATACCAGTTGATTCCAAATCAAAAAACTTCTTCAACTGTGTCTCAGCATTGTCATAAATTAACCCTCAATGCATTAATCTTCAATGCTTCCACTCACTAAATACCCAAATGCTGAGTTTTGTCAACACTAAATTTCTATTGGGTATGTAAGTTTGCCCAGATCTTATCAGAATGAAAAGTATTTCATATCGAAGAAGTAACTGAATTTTACCCGGTTTGTGAAAGTCTGGATCAGCTAACATAACTCCTTGCAGAATCGCAAAACATCAATTTGTCGAGAAGGCATCAAATGAGTAATACTCGGAACTACAAAAAAAAAAAAAAAAAAAAAAAAAAAAAAAAAAAAAAAATCTAGTTTACAACAGTATGTTTTTTTCTCTATTTAAAATAACCAATCCCATTTTTCCATTTCCCCCTTGTTCAAATCCCAGATAAACATCCTACTGATATGTTTACATTTTCCTTTTGCAAATGAAGCTTTTCAGCTAATTCCAATGAACAAAGATGGATCATACTTCCACTGTCAAGCAAAGTTCTGGCTGAAATATTTCCCTTAATATAAACAATCGCTGTTGATAGTAGGGCTCTATTAACTGCATTACAATTTTTACTTACATTAGTAGCTGTCATAAAATACTCGTTATCCTTATTTGTGAATGGTTTGGTGTGAATGTTGAGTTCCGTGGTTTCGGTAGATTGACTGGCTTCTGACTTTTGATCCAATGGAGATGCAAATTCACAACTGTTTTTATTTTGGAGAATCAGAACTTTTTCTCGCTCATAACACAGTAACAAATTATGCTTTTTTCTGCATATTCGACAAGAGTAATTTGAAGGGCAATTTCTCACTCCAAGATTTCCTAAACAACAGAAACATAAATTGTGCTTTTTGACATACTCTATTCTTTAAGCTGAGTTTTTGAAATTTAGGACATTTAAATTATTTATGTTCCGCATTACACAGTTTACAAATAAATACATGTTTCTCATTCACACATGAAACCATTGAAGAAACCTTTGGTTGACTTCGTTTAGACATTACTGGAATTTCGGAAGCGTTTAATGTCCTGGCGTGATCTTTTAGAAATTCTAATATATCTGTGATGTTCGATATTTTTCTTTCTTTAAATTCCTTTCCTACCATAACTTAGTATTCTGATCAAGTTTCTGGCTAAGAATAAAGGTAAATATAGTGGAAGAAACCCCATTTAACTTTTGTTCTGGACATTCGACTGATCTTACAAGTTCACTTGGAACTTTAAATCACAGAAGCTGGCTCGTAACGGGAATACTCATAAATCTTTTGAGATGGAGCGTACGCTTTTTCTATAGGGTGTGGGTATCTTTCTTCAAGGAGAGACCATGCTAACTTATAATTATTATCCATTATAGCTATCGTTTGGATTATTCTAAAGGCATCTCCTTTCAGTGCTGACTTCAAATATTGCAATTTTACAGCATCTGATAAATTTGGGTTCTGATCAATACTCGCTTTAAAAATATGCTTAAAGGGAAGCCAAGAATGCATTTCTTCTAAAAATGTCAGTAACAAAATCTTAGGTAAATGCACAATGGAATTTTCAGAAATTATTGTATTTTCCACTTTATTTTCTTTGACAATTTTGGCAATCTATTAATTTCAAATTCTATGTCAATAGCACTACTATTGATTTCATCTTACTCAATATATTTTTGATATTTTCTTCAGCACTTAAATTAATAATGGAATCAAAAATATTATCAAATTCATTTTGCAAATTGTTTAATTTAATTTTTAACAATTCTAAATCACTAATACTTAAATCTGGCTCAGAAAGTTTCTTTTGCAACTTTGATAAAATAGTTTTATGAGTTCTCTTTTTAGTGAGAACATCTTTCAATTTCGTAGCCATTTTTGCTACGCTTATCAATAACAACAAATTACCACACAAACTTAATTCAGAATTTACTAAATGCAACACTGAATAATGAATAGAGTTTCAAGGGTTACTTATCCCTTTCTTTCAGCATCTGGCTATAATCCACAAACATAAATTCTCCAGGAACAAAATGGCAAAATCACTGTTTTACACTAGCTTATTTACTGAGCCAATATCACTCCGTCTCTACAGGACCATCTGGCTGCAGTAATCTTCTTAGCATTGTGACAGCAAACAGAAGAATTGGGTTGAGAAAGGATAGATCCAGCCTTGACCAGAGTGTCAGCAAACTCATTACCCGTGATTCCACAATGACTTGGGATCCACTGCAGAATAATATTGCAAACATTATATATTATAGAATTTTATCACTAATTGCCAATTTAGAAGAGACCTATTGTTTGAAAGTATGACTGAAGAAATTGCTTTAATAGTGGCCTGTGAATAAATAAATGTCACAATGTTCTGATCATCTCTTTTACTGATTTCAGTCAAGGCCAGCAGGCACTTCAGCATCATGGTTCGTACAATTTGCACCAACAGCCCTGCTAAAGCTTGGAGTAAGCCCCTGCACCAGCATTACTATTAGCACTGATAGCAGAACTATCAGTGTACACATGCAACCAGTGCATTTTTGGAAATTTTGTCTAATAGTGGCCAAAACAGCCATCTTCAATTCTGTCTCAGTGTAGGATTTCTTACTGGCTGGCAGAACCAGGTCTAAATTATAATTTGCTGAGTTTAAATATCTTAGAAACACACCAGCCTCAAGTAGTGTCTGTCTGTTGAAAGAAGAGATTATAAAAAAAAAAAAAAAAAAAAAAAAAAAAAAATCAGACAGTTCATTTGTCACATGTAAAGAGGTGGTAGGTTGGGATTTTAACCTATGCTTTGTAGGATTGTGCATCTTCCATAACTCATTACACCTCAACAATCTCTTGAGCAACTTGAGAGTTCTTTTTACTTCCTTGTACAAAGTAAAAAGGAAATATTGTAATCGCGAAAAGCTTCAGGCAGCATATTTCAACAAAAATATCCACTTTGACATCTTTCGAATGCAATTTAACGATGTTTTTGCGTGATATCTGTACGTAAGGACAGAATAAAAGACTCTTTTCATCCAGAAAAACTAAAAAACTGCTTTAAAATTAATTCTGAAGAGAATTTTTCGTGACGTCTATACGAACGTATGTACATACGTATCTCGCATAACTCAAAAATGAGTAGTCTCAGAACGTTGAAATTTTGTATATGTAGTAGGTGCACATCTACTACAACATGTAGATGTGCACCTCGTATTTTGGTTTCAATCGGCCGCGCCAAACGTATATAAATATATTTATAAATATATCCTCTCTGGTATCCGGCCATTTGAAACAGCTGAGTTGCAGATTTGTTGCCAATCTAGAGAAACTTAGCTTCGCAACAACAAAGATAACGCCTTCATTTATTATTTAAATCATGCTTAATCCTTTCTGGAATTTTTTCGAGGAAATAAGCGTTTAAAATTTACTTCATAATTTTTAATACAGATATTTTGAGTTTTTATGTATTTTTGCCTTGTCGCGAAGTGAGAACTGAATTAAATGAATGTGAAATACTCAATCATTTCTTTTTTGTTTTGTTTGCTTAATTTCTTTTATACATAGTTCTAGCTTTATTATAGTATTTGAATAGGACATGTGGCAATGATTAGATAATTCTTTAAATGATATAAATTTTGTGCATTTTGAGTTATAATATGAACGAAATATAATACTGTTAAGTAAACCTAGCGCCAGAGTGTCGCTATGGTAAACAAAGTGAGTTTTAAAGAATGCATTTATTCTCTTGTGGTTTATGCGCTGTCGACGAAGTAGGTTTAATTCAATCTAATAAGTTTAAATAAAATGCAAGAAAAAATGCATATAATTTAATATTCCGTACAAGGAAGTCATGTGGTGTACACATCAGATTTTTTACCTTTGGTGAGTCAGAGGCTTAATGTTTGCAATTGCATGCCCTGTATAGGAGTAGAAAATGCCTCACCGGTGGTGATTCTCAGCGCATTATTTTGGAGTAGTTTCAACCTTGTTTTGTATTCACTCAGAAGCATTTATGAGAAGTTCACCACCTTATTTGACAGGAGGCCTAATATAAGATTTACAAGTTGTACAGATTAGCTCTTGGGTAGTGCCCCATTCTACACTGGTAAGCCTTTTAAGTAGTCTTATTTCTCATGTTGCCTTCATCCAGTATCCTGTTTATTCCAACTTAACCTGGAATCCAATACAGTTATCAGATAAATAGCCTCTTGAACCTTGTGGAGCTGTTGGTCTCCGTAAAATAGCTGTGTTTTTTTAGGTTTGGTACTGAGGGTGAAATCCTGAAAGTGTTGACTTGTGCTGTAGTGGTTTTTATTATAATGGTTTGAAGCTGTTTTTATTCAAAACGAAATGCATAATTCTTTTTAAAAGACAGTATGTAGATTGAATTACAGCTTTATCTTTACTTTAGATATACTACAGTTAGAATATTTTTGTTATAAATTTGTTTAATGCTTATTTTAACTTTTATTTCTTTACAATAGGTAAGAACAAAAGATCGAACTTTTGAAAGTGTGACTCATTTGGTGAGCTTTCACAGTGATAATGGTTTGCCAATAATATCTGCAGAAAGTACTTTAGTACTGAGAAATCCAATTCCCAGAACTATGATGCCAACACGTTGAGGTACTTATAAAACATTTTTTCATTTGTGAAAAGACAAAAGTGATAATTAAGCCTTGAATGTTTTAATGGAAACAAAATGACTTGTTAAAATTTATATGATGGTATATGAAAAAGAAAATTACTTAACATTTTACTAATCCTTTTTCATGTGAGCACATGTTTAACACAACATTGCAGCAGTTGTTGAAATCTATTGTGATAGACAATTTTAATAACATTGAGTTCTTGGGCCGTGTTTTTTTTTATTCTAGAAGTAGCAATTTATTGAAGTGTGCAAATTGTAATATACACATATAAATTTATATACACATAATATGTTTTTCATGTAAATTGGTCGTATATGTGTTTATTTATTATGTTTATTATTTATATTGTTTTATTTATATCATAATATTTATGTAAAAACATATATTTTTATGAACGTATTGTTTGTGTTTATATATTTGAACAGATTTTGATTATATATGTGCATCAAATTTGCATTTATTTTTTTACTATGTATAAAAGGTAGATCTCAGCAATGGAAAAACAATTTTATGATATTATTGAAATTTTAAATTCAAAACATAATTAGTTCTCTCAGCTATTTATGCAATAATGTGATCATGTTTGTTAACCTTAATGTATGTGTGATAACCAAGAAACTAGAAAAATATCAAAATTCGGGGTATAGAATCTCTCCATCCAGTTCTCAGTTTAGAATCTCATTTGGAACTATAATATACAAAGGCAAATTTTTTAAAACAATTTACCTTAATATATTTCTTTTTAAATACTTTTTTAAAATTTCTAATCAAAACTTTTTATTTTAAAATTATGGCATGAGAAAATACATTTTAACACGTTGACTGTTGTATCTCCTGTATTCATGAGGAGGGAAAAATTTCGATCAGACCGCATCATCTACTTATTTGAACATTTAAAGGTAAGTTGTTAGGTATTTGGAAAGATATTTCACAGGATTATTATAAGACTATTTAATTGTTATAATAGTAATTATTGAAACAAAATTTATTACAAAAATTATTTACAGTATAATGCTTCAAAACATTCTATATGAAGTTCAGGTTGGTCATGGCAATCTGGACAAAAAGTTGTCATAAAATTTTTTTTATGCCTTTGATTGATTTGTATGAAATCTTTTATTTAAGTAGCATAATTTGCAGCATGTCTAATGTTTTGTCCAAAAGTACTTTTTCAAATGGCAATATTATGCTGACTGCACTAAACAGAAGATTTAATTACATTAGCAGTCATCCCTAATAATTGCATAGCTAATAATTCTCTAAACTTTCTGATATTTATATTCTTCTTTCTTTGCTTAAGTTTGTTAATGATTAAAGCATTCTCAGCTGTAATTCCCAGAAGAAACTGAATATCAAGTTTTTGGTGCCATTTGAATCCTTTTCTAATTGTAGTGGCAAAGAAACCGTTTTATCCGAATAATCTCTACCGTGTTTTCTATTATTGTATGCAAGAACAGCTAGTGGTTTCAATTTTCCAGGTGACTGTTGGTCTGTAAAAGCAGCATGAATGTTGGAAATATTTCTTGCATTTAGTACTATGATGGGAAATTGTTTTGTTGATGAAATTCTCACATCCTGCTAATCTAAGTGTTCCAACTACATTAGTCTTTTGGTTCAAACATAATATAGGTAATTCATAGCTTGTATAAAAATTATCAATACACAATTTTCGTCCTTTGTGGAAAAGTTTATCGGGTAGTTGTAGACATATATTGTGTGCCAATCCTGTTTCTATAATATTGTCAGTTGACTTACCAGAATAAATTTTCAATGACCACATATATCCTTTGCATGAGCATAATCTGAATAATTTAATCTGTTATTTATGTGCTTTATTTCGCATATACTGTTTGAAAATGAGTTTTTTGTGCCATGGAATCAACACTTCATTGATGACAATGTTTTCCATTATTTCTTAATATTTTCTTTGCACTTTTTCAAAAAGTGGAACTATTTTTCTTAGTTGATCCTCCTGGGCAATAGGCATATTATCAGTAAGATGGAAGTTACTAACTAGTACTTTAAATCTTTAATGACAGAATGATACATGGTAACTGAAAAGTAGACAATGGGCTTTTCCACCAATAATTAGATATAAGGTTTGCTTTTACAAATCCCATCCATATCAGAATTAGTGTCCATTTATGTGTATTCGTGAAGACATGATTATTTCAGATTCATTCAGTTTTTGTTCAGCATATTTGTTTGTTTCTAATACAAGCAAGTCTGTTATTTCATCATCAATAAACAAAGCAAACCCACAATAGGGATGGATATCGCCAGATAATTCATTAATAAGACCTCTGTCGTAGTTAGAAAAAAAAAAAAAAAAAAAAAAAAAAGACTATTTTTGGCAACTAATTTCATTCCATTCATTAAACTGAATTGTATTTACTTCAGTATTAACTTTTCTTTTCGTCCTTAACAACCAGTTCTTATAAATATGAAAATAGTATCTACATCACATTCATTATCATTACATTTATCAATACCCGAATTTTATTTACTTTTCTCTTTCTGGAAATTCTCGGCTGTTTCTCATTGCTACTGTCTGAATCTTACTAAGACTCACAACAGGTTTCTTCTTCAGCACTGTATGATTTAGTAAGAAAAAACTCTTCCATTTTTCTTTTTGATAATCCAAAAAATTAGGGCAATGATTTTAACAAAAAATTTTAACCATCATCTACAGTAAAAATATTTGAAAAAGAAGAGGTAATTTTCATATCTCACATGCTTTCTTACATAATTCGTTCTTGAGCAAAGATTTTCACCTAAATGCATGTTTCAAACATTTCATTTTCAGTGTGCTTACCTTGTGCTACGATAAGAAACAACTGCATGGTATAGCAGCAGGTATGGCCTGATATCTTATTAATTCACATGGCAATCAACCATTTGACTCACATGGCTAATTTACCATTTGGCTGTAGAGAGTTTGAGGGAAAAAATGGAGGTGGTAGTAATTATCTCTTTGCACATTAGTGGTAAAATATATTACACTGTTCTTTATTAATAAGTGAAAATTGCCCATATTTTATGTACTTAATGTATACACATTGAACATGGACAATAAAGTGATATATCCTGAATGGTCAAAACATTAACCTTTTGTGGATAAGAAAGGAATTTTGCATGTTAAGTTTGGGAATGGCCCTCTGATATATATGGCCATTGTTTGTTTACATTCAAAACAGGAGAATAGTGGATTTGTTGCCAATGTGGAGAAACTTAGCTTCGCAACAACAAAGATAACACCTCCATTTATTATTGCGAATTAAATCATCCTTAATCCTTTCTGAAATTTTTTCGGGGAAATAAGTTTTAAGATTACTTCGTATTTTAAGATAAGATTACTTGTAAATTAATTTGAAGGAATTTTGTGGCGTCTGTACTAACATATGTACGTTACGTATCTCGCCCAAACTCAAAACGAGTAGCCTCAGAACGTTGAAATTTGTATATAAGACTACTATAAAATGTAGATGTGACCTCATATTTGGTTTCAATCGGCCGCGAAACCATATATAAATATATTATAAAATATATCCCCACTGGCCCAGTGAAAATTTTCTTATCTTAATGTTTGTCAATGGTACCATTTTTGCTTTAAAAATGATTGAATTATGTGTTTTTTTTCCGGTTAAGGGTTTGCCCTTTAATAAACCGTATGCAATTTTTTAGAATATCAACATTTTAAAATTGTTTAGCCCACTAAGCTAATTTGATGGCGGCATTGCTCTTTTTAAATGTGAAGAGTTCTGAGTAGCGGATTTGTGCAATCTAGAGAAACTTACGCGTCACAACAAACAAAGATACGCCTCCTATTTTTATTTAAATATGGCTTAATCCTATGGGAATTTTTCGGGAAATAGCTTTTAAATTTTACTTCATAATTTTACAGATAGTTGATTTTATGTATTATGTTGTGTGAAGTGAGAATGAATTAATTGAATGAGAATAGTAATCATTCTGAAAAAACTGTTTATATTTTTTGTTTTTTTTGCTTACTTTCCTTTTAATCGTCTACAGCTTAATTTAATGGTATTTGATAATGTGAAAGAGAAGCGATTAATAATTTTAAATAACAAAAGATATAATTTTAATTGCATCTGAAGTTTCTTTTCGAAATAGAAGATACTATTGTTTTAGCACAAATTTAGTATGTAAATAAAAAAAATTTTAAATTTTTTTCTTTGTGGGTTTCTTTTTTTTTCTGTCAGCGAATATGTTTGAATTCATCCAATAAGTTTTAAAGCATTGTAATTGCAAGAAAGTAGATTTAATTCAATCCAATAAGTTTAAATGAAATGCAAGATAAAATGTGTTTAATTTAATATTCCGTACAAGGAAGTCGTGTGGTGTACACATCAGATTTTTTATATATATATTATGTGTGAAATAGGTAAATATGTAGGTCGAATTGGATTTTATTTTTTATAATCTACAAATATAAATACATAAACACTATTTTAAAACCCAGTTGCAAAAGTGGAAAAATTAATTAAAAAAAAGTTTAATTTATGACTATTTCTGTATAATATAAATGTATGCACATATACGTATGTATAGTCCTGTAGAATAATACAGTGCTCTTTAACTCTTTTTAGTATGAGAAATTCTTTATTTAATTTTGATCTCTCAAATGGCTTAAATATAAAAATCATTATACAGTTCCTGGCAGTTAAGCATTATTAGTTAAACTACATATTTAATAATCCAGAAGTAATACTTACTTTTTTATTGAAATTTATTTATACATGGACCTCTATTTTTATCCAGCTAAGAAACATACTTTTTTAGATCATTTCTTCTCATCCCAGAAGATACTGCTGTTAATTCAACAGTGTAAAGAAGAGAAATCAATTTGCTTTTCCTGCTTATTATTATTTTTAATTTGCTTTATTGATTGTATAACATTTTTTACTAAAATGAATTCTGATGAAAAATAGCTTTTGCTTCTTAAAAGTGAAAACTACTTTTTCTTATAAAAATGGAAAAGTATGTAAGTTTAAATTTAAATTAGTTTTGTCCTTAAGAGTTCATAATTTTTAAAAAACTTACCAGACATATCTGATCCAGGCATATCCTTGTTAAATTTCTTAAGCTGAAATGAGATTTAATTTCTCTGCAGATAAATTAAATAGTTTTCTCGTGGAAATCCTTGGTGAGAAATAAATTGAATAACAGTATGATACTGCTATGTATCATTCTACTTATTTCAAAGTATGCATTAAAGTTTCATTTTGCATCAGTTCACTAAAAGTTATTTCATGGATTTTATTTTAAATTATCTAAGTTATACATGCCATAAAATATATTTTTAAATACATTGTAAATAATTTAATATGTGTATATATGCATACATTTATTTTTTAACTAAAATAAAAGGTCTTTGAAAATAAAATAACCAAAAACTAAATAAAGTTTTCTGCCCAGTGAAGAAATGATTGTCTAATGATGTACTGTTGTCATGGCTATGCCATCTCAGAGGCAAAATTCAAATTAACCTTCTGACTGGCACAACGTTTTGGATCTGTTCTTGAAGACCTATGTTTAAATAGTTTCTATTACCTAACTTTTTATAATTATTTTCCATTCACTAAGATGATATTTACATTATTAGCGAAAGTAAGAATAATAATTTTATAAATTACTGTTTAGGAATGAGTTATGTCATAAAAAATTAATTCACAAATGTGATATATTCCTGTAAGTTAATATATTACATCATAAAAATCTAACTTACCTTGTTACTGTTAATAATAGTAATAATGAAAAATTACTTATGAATGTAAAGGATGTTAAAAAAGAGAGAGGATGCAAACATACACATGCACACACACACACAAAAAGAAAGAGTGAGAGAATTGATAGAATATTATGTTATTGTTAATGGCCAAAGTGTTTTGCAACTTATATGTAATTGCTGTTTTGATTTGTAACAGACATTTTTATTCCAAATATGGATTAATTTTGGAACTTTATTAAAAATTATACATAATTTCAATGGAAAATAATGAAATAGACTTTTGTGATATTTCAGGATGTCAAAAAATTCATACAAATTCTGTTATAGCTATTTTTATTTTTACAAGTTTGGTATCAATAAGGGTGTTATTGATGTATATCAGAAATATAGATGGACTATAATGCCTACAATTTAAAGAAAGTTTTATTTCTTTTAGAAAATTATATGCAAAAGTACATGTGGCTGTAATGTTTTTCACTGCATTTAAAAAAAATGTTTTGTTGTACATCTGTAGACATTTAGTACATATTTTTTTTTAATATGGTTCTGCGTTATGTATGTAATATATAATGTAGAAAATAAAGTCATAAAAAGTGAATAAAGTTAAATATATTTTAATGCACATAAATTGTTATTAAAAGTTAAGTAAAGATTTAATTTATTATGTTATGTGCTGATTAATAGAAAGTTTAAGGATCATATACAGATCATATACAGTCAAAAGTCTTTAATCCGGACCTCAAAGCTACAAACTTTCTGCGCATGCGTCAATGTATGCGCATAATACCTTTAAGCATGCAGGTTTAATGTATAATGGACGGTATAAGCTAATTGGATATGGCTTATTATTTTTTGCAGACTGTTAGAGCAATTTTAAAAAAGTAAGCTTGAACTTTTATAATTATGTCAAAAAGAATTTCCGATTCTGGAGCTACCAAAGGATCTAAAAAGCGAAAGCATGTTTTTATGTCTATCAAACAAAAAGTGGAATTGCTGCAAAAAATGGATAAAGGTATATCCTTTGATTCTCTAACCATTCCGAAATATGTTTATCAATTTCACGCTGCTCTGTGGGGGGGGGACGCAGCGCGCAATGAATTGGAAGTTGTGATCTGTCAGCACTATCCTTCTCTTCAGGGCAGATGTTTTTATTTCATTCGACTTATAATTCCTTACTAAATGTAGTATTTCATCTCGATGTACTCCTCCTTTGATATGATTTAAATCAATTTCCTCATCATTATAAATATCAAGAATACACATCGAATAGTTTTCTGGTTCTAATTTTTTAATTTCAACTGTGTGTAATGTATGCTTTACGCATGCGCGTGTTAAAAAATGTTTACTAAAGTAAACAAATAAATATTAAGCTTTTTTTTTGTAAATTTTGATACTTTCAGATCTAATTGCTCTTTTTTCATAATTACGGCTTCATATTTTTAATTTAATATTCTGCATGCCAGATTACAGATTTAAATCAGGATCTATAATCGGAAAATCAAAATTTGGATTCACGAAGCCCCGATGAGTCCGATTTTAAGACTTTGACTGTACTTTATTAAATAACAATTCTCTGGCAAGTGG